TTTCTCACAACATCAAACACCGCATTCATGTTGGTGGACTCTGCATCATATGTTCCAGCCGCCAATACATGGTGATGGCCTAAAATGTCAAGCTCATCCCACTGTAGTAGACCGCCGGGCTCTGAAGCAGTGCGAGAATCATTGTCAGCCACGATTGTACCTGCGCAGCATCCTCCAAGACTTACTAAGGAGTTTGAAGATGTGGCGGATGATCTGCCGGGGATCACCCCTCGTTGTCACAGATATAACCAGCCGAAGGTGCACATAGTCAAACGAGCCGAGTAGCTCCTCGGGTGGGTCCATCAATAGGTTACTAGTGTCAAAGCTGATGGACTTGGGCAGCCATGCTTTATGTGGGAATAGCGATGGCGAAATGTCGAATCCTTGTAGGCGTGTTTTGACATCGCTAAGCTCACTAGACCGGTGTAGATCTAGTAGCCAAATTCTGGTGGTATAGAAAGTCAGCACAGTGAGCACGCTATCAGTCAGACAGAGGGGTGAGAAAGTGTAAGATGACATACCCGGTACCAGTCGCCAGATCAGCAATCTCGAGTGTTTGCGAACCGCCTTTGGCCGACTGTGCTTTCTTGTGTAACTCTTCACGAACCCAGGGATGCACCAAGAACCCTTGAGCTTCTCTCCAGAGGTAGTGCTGAAGGTTGAGTCTGGCCTATGTCTCAACTCGCCGCTCTGGTGGTTGGGACTTGAGTAAACTCACCTCGTAGAGGCAGCATAGCCCCGTCCAAGAACGTAGTCGTCCTTGTTCGAAGTGCCCACCCCTAGACCGCTGCGGTTTTCAGATTCCTGTACTACACTCGCGGTACTCATTTCGTTCTTTTGGGATTGATTATGGGATATGGAGGCGGATCAAGAGTCATAAAAGCAAGAATGATGAGGAGCACAAGTTATCTCCAGGATAGGATCAGTAAGGGACCATCACAGTATCTAAGCTACCTCTTTTACAACGTGGGCAGTCGATACGAGAGCGCACACCTCCACCAAATCAAACCCATGTATTGTTTGCGTACATTGCAGGGCTCCCCGACCATTCCCTTCCGGGGAGATATTCGCGTCCAGCAGTGGATTGAAATTGGATATGTACTGAGACAAGTTTCCTGCCACCAATACCAATACCACTCCGCAACGTATCTCGCATGGGATGATCTGCTGGGGGAATGCCCCATGCGAGAGCCGGCAGGTTGAAAACTAACGAACGGCCTACATACTGCAACCGTCCAGATTCGTAACCACAACCCCGTGCCAAGTTTCTGGATCGGCCTTAGTGGTCCCCTCAGCTGCCCAAGAGCCACTCCTCAATACCAACATCTTAGCACAGGTACTAAAGCAAAGTACTTTGAGATTCCCCACCGGCTGGCCCCGAGGCTATCGGCGCATATTCCCGCGCCGATAACCCTGGTGGCGTCTTTTGCGCAGTTGCACAGCAGGCTACCGAGGCGTGAAAGAATATCTTATTTGGGTTCTAGCGTAGTAGCGAACAGGTGAAACTGCAGCTGCCGGGGGGGTCGTCTGGGAAAGTGGCGACAAAAAGGCCGGGGTGCCTGTGGTGGATTTATGGAACCTGCATATGCATGTTAATAGTATACCCTTGCAAGGGTCCGGACAACCTGCGGGACGTTCCAATCGTGGTGAGAAAAGGTGGAAGGTGGTAACACAAGGTAATCATTAGCCTTTGGTGCTTTGCATCTATTCTATTCTTGCCGACAGCCCCATGACCTCCCGTCCGACATATCCTTGCTTCCAAGCGGATCCGATAGCCAGTAGCAAAGTGGAATTAATTTCGAGCCGCTGATTCGGCAAAGAGAATATGAGTATTCCGTACGTAAAAAGTTGAGGGAAGATAATCACTCTCCGCACACGCGGAGGACTACAGAGAAAGAGAGTTGTGGTATGGTTCACCCTGGCTCCGTATAAATGATGTACAACTACAAGCTGTGCATATACCTGAGCTGGAACATACGTCCAATGTGCTTGTGCATATTATCTGCCTGCCTGGGTAGCTGGACATCTGATGCACCAAGAGGTAGTAATAGGATGTGCACCTAACACTTGGCTTGCGTATGTAGAGGGTATGATGTGCGATATGGCCAACTTGGCCAGCATGGCCTCGCGTTATCTTGTAGCCACTTTCAGGCCGACCACGGCCCATCATTCTATCTATAGAGTAACCAGCGGACCAAGACTGTATCCACCTCCCCGACACGCCGTGTGTAATTCTCGTCGGCTACCCTCCACAGTATGGCGTTCTGATTGCGCAAACACGGGCCCCCTTGAGTTGCATGGGCGAATCGGAAACCCTGCTACCATGCGGAGGCACTGGATCATATGTCCGTACGTACATGCGAGTGTGCATACGTGACGTGACATATGTGTGCAGTTCAAATCAGAAGTAGAAGAGCCCAGTTGACTGGACCGCAGCCGATTCCCACTTCGAGGCCCGGTAACGAGAGACAGGTCTCATTCCCACGCGTGGCCCCTCAGTGCTGGCTATAAAGAGTCCCTTGTTTTCAAGAGTTTGGGAAGTTTCTCTTCCTGAAGTCAATAATTTCTCCGGAGCGCATAAGCTTTGCTACTCCGTCTTACCGATTTCAAAGAAAACGCTTTAAACTTTCTTATACGCACAGGCATATCCACCGTGTTGATCCGCAAGCATGGGCAAGCCTACTAGTACTACTACTACCAGATCTTCAAGTCCCAACGGGCCTTCTAGCGGCCCTCGCGTCACAGGGATTCTCTCTGTGCTGCCAAAATCCTGGGTTCCCTATGCCCAGCTCATGCGGCTAGACCGGCCGGCTGGATTTTATGCTTTCTACTTCCCCTACCTCATCGGTGTGACGTACGCCGCCTGTCTCTCGGGCCAGGAGATCCCTCTCGACCAGGTGTTCTTACCCGGCCTGATGTTCATTGGCTGGTGCATCATCCTCCGGGGCTGGACCTGCACCTGGAACGACAACATGGACCAGGAGTACGACCGCGCCGTCGAGCGCTGCCGCAACCGGCCCATCGCCCGCGGCGCCGTGTCCACGCTCCAGGGCCACATCTTCACCGTTGCCCAGTTCCTCGTGGGCCTCCTGTTCGTGCAGTCGTGCCTCTCCGCCTCGCTGGACGCCGTCTTCGACGTCCTGGCCATGTCGGCGCTGTACATCCTATACCCGTTCGGCAAGCGCTTCACAAACTACCCCCAGTTCATCCTGGGCTTCCCCTTCGCCAGCGGTATCGTCATGGCATGCCACGTGATGGGCGTCCAGCCGTTCGCCACGCGGGTTGCTACCGAGGCCACCGCCTGTCTGTGCATCTCGGTGATCCTGTGGACTATGACCTACGACACCATCTACGCGCACCAGGACCTCAAGGACGACCTGAAGGCCGGCGTCAAGTCTATGGCTGTGCGCTTTAAGGACACCACGAAGCTGCTAACCACGGTGCTCTCGCTCGCCCAGGTGGCGCTCCTTGTCAAGGTTGGCCTGGACTTGGATCTTTCTCTGGGGTACTACATCATTGGCTGCGGCGGCACTGCGCTCTCCCTGATCGCTATGATCAGCCTGGTGGACTTGAACAACCCTGCTAGCTGCGCTTGGTGGTTCAACGCCGACTTCTGGCTCGTCGGCGGTAGCATCTCGGCTGGGTTTTTCGCTCACTACATGCGATTGATCTGAGGTCAACCCGTGCCTCCTTAGTCTGAGATAATGGAGGACGGCTGACTCACAATTACATGCAACCACAACCATCCTGAGTAGTAGCAGGAGTACTAACAATGTGCATCGCACACGTATTCTTGTTGAATATCCGCAGGAAGGATCTGGTCTATACTCTGGGGCCTTTTAAGAACTTAGAAAACGTTGTAAACGTACTCGGGCGTTCTTGTCGTCTTCGTGTATATAGTTCAAGAAAGCAGTACCAATATCAGTTAGAAATGGTATAAGACGCACGGAGGGGGAAGAGAATCATATTGAACCCACAGGTAAATAGCAGGTAGCGTAGAGATGAATGCTCCATTGATGATACTCTGCCCCTTCAGTATTCCATTTGACCCAGTATATGTAGCCTGGTCTCCTATAGTCTTACCACTGTAACTCTGCAAAATCCCCTGCAGCCTCATAGCAGCATTGTATTCAAGCCCGTCTGTCATGGCATCATTTCACGTGTCACGCCTATTCCCTGCAATCATTGCGTAACGTTAACCATTAATTGAAGCTAGGAAGGAAAAAGGCACAGTACTGCCGTGTAACCTGATCTGGAACGCTTTTGAAAAGTCTTGCATATTCATAAACATTGCCTCTTGCATTTTTTATTTCCGATCAACTCCTCAAATGCCGATAAACCCGAAAGGTTGCTCCCTGACGATATACTGTACCATTCTCTTATAAACACGTCTAGTGTGCTCTCGCACTTTCTTTCTAATGAAATAGATGGTAGGATTAATTCACCAACAAAGGTAGCACCATTCTTATTGCCAAGCCATATTTGCACTGCTACTTATGCTCTAATTATCACTGTCATCAGCGGAGAAAATCAGCTGAAGTTTGTCTTGTGATTAGCAAAACACAGGTCGAAGGAGACTTTTCTGTGATTATCTCACTAGACGAAAACATAGCAAACTCTTCCTTGTCAGTCAGATGTTGAAATAATTATGAATGTTCCACGCGAAGATTGTTTTCACGTAAGGATGTACTACTCATCCACCGATATTTCAATGCAAGCAGCCCATGAGCCCCAAAGAGGCGGGAATATTTAGGTTGATTTTGCTTTTTCCCACCTTATGTGCCGGCTGTCTTTCTATATTCAATGCAAACTCGTGTTTAGTAATCCTTTCGCTATCGACATACCTGAGCAACAATGGGTGGCCGCCCAGAACGACTCCACCTGTCGCCACCCCTAATACCTGTTGCACGAAGCTGGAGGGAAAAGCTTTGTCGGAGTCATAGCACGAAATAAAGAGCCGACTTTCATCAGCCAATGAGCGTTCGAGCTCAACAAGCGCCGGTGATATCGTATAGTGGCTAGTACAACACGTTGTGGTCCTCTGGATAATAGACGCCTGTCTGCCCCGTGTAAACTTGGGTTCGATTCCCAATATCGCCATCATTTTTCACTCTTTCCTTCAAAGAAAGGCGTGAACTTGATTTTTTTTTTCTGAAAATAATTATTTGTGCTACATCACGAAGAATGAAGAAAGTACGATTGCTGTAACTAGAACTAGGTTATCCCATCATACGCCACATCCTCTCATTCTGGTGTGGACGCCATGTTTTCAGACTGCGATAGCACACGATTCAATTATTGTTGATTTGAGCCTTATTAAACGAGCATTGTATGGAAGTCGCTGATCATTCTACTGGCCTAGCAGCAGGGCCTGCAGAGTGGAGAAAGTATTTACCGTCAATATATTTCGCAAAATTTGAGTTAACGTGATCATTGCTCTGAGTTCGTTTTCCTCTTATCAACTACGGCAGTACAAGCACAGTATGAGAGCGGTCTCTAGGAGTACTTACCGTGGGTAATAATGCTTACTTGTTTCAGCCTTCGAGGAACACGGGGTAGAATATATGTCAAGGACAGAAATCATTTCTCTATGAGTAAAACCTCTATACTGGTGGAATCATGAACCATCATGCCATGCAAATACGACTCCCACATAAGTGTACCCTGTTCATCGTATCCCCTTTGTTGCATAAAAAAAGAAAAAAAGAGAAGAAATGAAAAGAAAATTCCCCATGGAAAACTTTCGCCACCTTGCACATAACCAAAGATTACAATATTTGGTAGTTGTAATACTTCTGGTGGTTGTTCTGCTTGTTCAGCAACCATTGGTTGCGCTTGTGGGCATTCTGTTCTCGCTTGCGTGCGCGCACCTCAGCCCGTTTCACCTCGCTCTTCTTCTGATCAGTAACACCCATCATTCCGTCAGGGCGGGCGATTATAGCTCTCTCGCGACCACGCTCACGTCTGTCCAAGACCTGGCGATCACCATCATCAACATCCATGGGCTCAACGCTAGCTTCGATTGCGAGTCTTTGAACCCGTTCTTCGGGCGAAGGGTAGTTGTGAAGGTTCTGTCGATAGTACTTCGCCAAGGATCGATGACCAACCGCACGCCCAGAGGGGAGATGTAGCTGCGTATCATCGTAGAACACAGCACGATGCTTATGAGCATGGGAGTGCCAACCGTCCATCTGGTGATGGTTCCGGGGATCGCGAGAAGAGTGATGCGGGTGCTTCTCTAATCTTGAATACTGGCTGTAATGGTGATCCACTGGGATGGAAGTCAAGTCCGCAGACTCGCAGGATGATGCTGAACTATCCGTCTCCCAGCCTTCCTCGTCCTCCATGACCTCGTCACCATCTTCTCCAAGGGCCTTCGTGGGGCGCCTGGCGCCCAGCTTGGCTCCTCCGGAGGGCTTTTCATCTCCAGACTCCTCGTCATCTGACTCTTCGTCGTCTGAGTATGTGCTTCGGAAATCGTAGAATTCACCGATCTCCACCTGCTCATCCTCTGTCGTGTAGGGAATCTTGCAGTGACCCTTGTCGCGCATGTGCGTCTGCACGGCGAAAGCATTATTCTTCATCTTGCCACAGTAAAGACACTCGTTCAACTCCTGAATACGTTCTTGTAATGCCTTTAGTAAGCCATCCACATCCACCAGATACTGCTTCTCTGGTATGAACATGCCATGGATTCTCTCCATGTGAACGATGTTCAAGGGAACACTGGGGGATTCATAATTGCAGAAGAGGCACGATTTCAGTGTCAAGGTAGGCACCGGAGTTGCATTGCTGGTTCCTGGCTGGCTAGAAGTATCCGAGATGGGGTGCTCGCTTTGGTGTTTAGCCTCAGCGGAAGGATGAGGGTTAGAGGGGCGTCTTTCGGCAGCCGACGCCTCACCGAGTTTAGCCTTCTTGAGCCCTTCGACGACCTCGTGAAACTCGTCTTCAGCATCGGAGTCTATCGCGTCCCCTTCCACGGGAAGAGGCTCGCCAAGAGAGAAGGTAGAGCTAATGATGGTGCTAGCAGCATCATCCCCAGCTACACTTCCATCGGCCTTGCGCTGCATCGCCTGTTCCTTCAATTTATGTTGACGGCTGCTGATGTGGTTTCTGTAGGAGTTTTCGCTGAAATAGGTGCGTTGGCAAACGTCGCAGACTTGTTGGAACCCGGCGCGGTCGGCTTCGGCGCTGGTAGCAGCACGCGCCTGCAAGACCTTCTCGGTGAATACTTCAGAGGCGATAGGAGGCAGAGAGGCAACTCGCCGCTTCAAGTTGTATCGGCTAAGTGCGGTCAGGATTTGAATATTACTGGGAATAGGGCCAAGAGTGGAAGTTCAAATAGCAGCCATGCAAGACCAACTTACTGCCAATCGCTTTTCATATGACCCTTCTGGGTTTCTGCTAATCGGAAAGCCACCTGACAAGTATTGCAAGTGTACTGGTGGGTATCTGGTTTGCCAGAAATGCCGGAGGCGGCGTTTCTGCTGCTGGCTATCGTTGCCATCTTGAGAGAATGAATGGGCGTTAAGCGACGGGTGATGAAAGCGTCAAAAGTTTGTGCGACCGTGGTAGGTGAATGAAGAGTGCAGAACACCCTGCTGTCTGCGAAAATAAATCACAGATACCTCTCTCTTTGCGACAGAGAAAGCAGCGATCAAGGATCTCGAAGGTTCAAGACGTCCTGGCACAACCAACGAAGAGCCAGGTAAAGGTCGTTGATTTGAAAGCAGCCCAGTGAGGGGCAGCGCTGGTCTTTAAACGGATCGCAAACAAAACCGGAATGCCGAAGATGGATGGATATTAGTCAGGCAGACGGTTCAGAGTAAATGTAGGCGCCTTCTGATCCGCTAGAGTCTGGCTCTACTTTCGGGAAGGGATGGACGTTGACTTTCGATTTGGAGTCATCAGTCGAGTGAATGGATTGTCGGGCTACTGACGAAATTCCCGTGGCGTGGTGAGGGGTGGTGGGGGGGCAATTTTTTTTTTTCCTCGCCGCAAAAATATCCAAAAAAGATTTCGGGCATGCTACATACGTCAGGCCCTGCCAGGGCTAAAACTTGGCGATCCACAAGCGACAAGCGCCTGCTATGCACGTACCAAGGCACGCTGGGATTGGCTCTGGTTAGGGGCTGCCAGGCTGTAGCACTAAACAGCAGCTGCCCTGTGTCCCCATAAGACAAGCCGTCGTTGACCCCACCACTTGATCTGACATCAATGATGGGAATCCATATTGCCTGCCTATCCGCTCACATTAGGTACTTTAGTAGCCTAAGTTAGAGACATATGTAGTCCAACCATACCTGCCGCAGAAAGCGAGCGCTTGACCAAAAGGTAGCAGGTGACAAATGGGCAGCCGTTTTCCTTCGGGTTCTTTCGGGACCTGTGTCTTTCCACTACTCTGGCTCTGCCCGCCCCAAGTACACATGGTGCTGACCCATGTCCTCCGAATGACTTGATCACATATCCTTGTGCCTCCAGCACTGACTACGAGCAGTGTCACAAGGCCGAAAGTGAAGCCGGGTTGATCTTGTAACCCGAAACCCTTCGTACTGTGGGTTATTCCGCATCCAGATGCGAGATTCATGGAGAGAAGAGACTAGTAACAACCCATATCACGAGAGGAAGCGTCTTCTCACCTAGAAGAGCCGAATTTCCTATTCAGTTTCTAAATACCGACCCCGAACCCCTCAATAAAACACAGAAGACACCACTCACCCCTCCCAGCTATTAGCTTAGGTGCAGATTAAGAAAACGCTTATCGGAGTTAGCTGCCGGCGGGTAGGTTATAGGTGTCGGGGACTGCCCCACCGCATTTCGATCCGTGGATTGTCGCTAGATCATCCAATCAATGTGCTGGTGAATGCGGCCGACAGGTGTGTAGCTGTGGAGTTTCAGTGTTGAAAGGACAAGCACCTTGCCTTCGTGATTCAAAGGAATGAAATGATACATCTTCGAAAAGAGCATCCTGATGCAAGCAAGCTCTAGTAATTATATGCATCCATGGTAAACCAGTTCTGATTTTTTTTGTTGCGCTCGGAGCTGACGGGAATTCTCAGCTTCTGGTAGTGGTTAAGACAAAAGTCATTTGGTAATCAGAAATGCCATTTGTTCCAGGGTCCGGAGCAGCTGTAGCGCTTGGTGGGGCTGCTCTGCCCAAGCTAGCCTAGTCCTCTCCGTAGCCCCCGGCACTTCGCCATCACTCACAGGTCCAGGATTACGACAAGGCTTCAGCCTCTTGCCGGTGACTGTGTACGATCCCGACTTCTACATGCAATAGACATCTCCCCGGCACCTTTACCATCCCTACGAATCGACGAGATCCATGCATCATCGGTGAGCGCTGCGATTTTCAGACCGCTGCCCAGCCTCTCCATCCCTGGAGCCGAACCTCGAGTTTCGACCTGGTTGCGATCAAGTCTCCGCGCGCATTCTCTCCTGACTTATCCCAGCAAGGCTTTGCGACGACCATCATCGCCGTCTATCAGCGCGATAACGCAGGAGATAATCCGAGCAAACCGATGACATGACGCAGGAAGCGTCGCACACACACCATGGCCATGGAAATATCGATCTCGAAGCTGACATCCTAGCTGCGCTCTGGGAGGAAGTGCCTTTTCCTCGACTACCTTTGGACGCCCCGGCCGAGTTACAAGAGTTGGTGGTCGAAATAGAAAACCCGAGGAGGGTCTACACCATACATCGTGCTGTGCGCCGACATAGCTTGCAGCAGCTGCTGGAAAAATTCATCTACCAGCTACGTTACGGCTGTGGCTACAATGATTGCACAACGCCATCCTGCTTCACATGTAGGAGACGACTGGCAGGGAAGAATCCCATAAGGCGCTATAGTCCAACGAGTGCTAGAACTTTGGCGGTGTATTTGGCGAGCCAAGATAACCCGGAGCTTCAGCTGTGTCCAAACCTTCACTCCATTTCTGAACCTAGCGATGCGGTCAAACCTCTCATATTTGGTGTTAAATCGCATCCGTCACGGCACGAACCGAACGATAATCTCAAGGCGAAGAAACCGAATGGACATATATCACAATTTCCGCCCAAACAGAAGATCAATCACGCCACGCAATCCACCTCGAGCA